TCTCTGACTCCGTCGGCCTCGGTTAGCGTGCCGAGGAAAGAGAGAAGGACCGTCTCTGACTCCGTCGGCCTCGGTTAGCGTGCCGAGGAAAGAGAGAAGGACCGTCTCTGACTCCGTGGGCCTCGGTTAGCGTGCCGAGGAAAGAGAGAAGGACCGTCTCTGACTCCGTGGGCCTCGGTTAACGTGCCGAGGAAAGAGAGAAGGACCGTCTCTGACTCCGTGGGCCTCGGTTAGCGTGCCGAGGAAAGAGAGAAGGACCGTCTCTGACTCCGTGGGCCTCGGTTAGCGTGCCGAGGAAAGAGAGAAGGACCGTCTCTGACTCCATGGGCCTCGGTTAGTGTTAGAGGACAAAAGGAAGGACCGTCTCTGACTCCTAGGTCTTCGGTAAGCGTGCCGAGGCTTAGATCTGCTTAGATCGTTATACTTTGAAACGATGGGTCTATGGTGCTTGAAAAGTGTGACAGCAATGCATGAAATGAACAGAACATGATGAAGAAGTTCTACATATCTAGATCTATATCAAACAGCAGAAAGCCTTTTATGAATCACTGAAAAAAATGATGCCACAGCTTTAGGCATTTACTTAATTATGTTTAGGTACTTTAAAACTATTGTTTAATGCATTATTTATTTCAGTGAGGAGAGATTGCTGTTTCCCATTGGCTTCTGGCTCGCTCAAACCCTGCCCCTGTCGTCCAATCAAAGCCAGAGATAGAGAGGGGGGAGAGAGGGGGAGGAGAGAGTGAGAGAGAGATGGTTCTGTATCACTAATCTCGCGCGCGCCATCCACTCTCAGAGCAATTAGAGTGAGCTGCAGCTCCGCAGTGACTCATTGAAACATCCTCAGAGCTGATAGAGACGCAGCGCCATACTGCTCAGGGACAGCAGCGCTCCTCCTGCAGCGCTCCTCCTCCTGCACGCCTCCTCCTCCTGCAGCGCTCCTCCTGCTCTCATGGACTGCGCCGCTTCGCTGTGGATTCGCTCCGTTCTGGACTTCCATGCATTTGTTCTGTGAGGCTGCAGATCGGCGCACTGACAGGATCCGGGGCTGAGGTGAGTGATGGTTCTGCAGGACTTTCCCTGAGTTGCTCTGGATGATGGGAGGGAAGCAGCAGATTAGCGCATCCGCGTCATTCCTGCGCGGAGAGCAAAGTCAGAGCAAACAGCAACCAACTGATGCAGACGCTTTAGTCACCAACTCTGATTGCTCTGGATCTATCTCTATAGGTAGCGCATTGTTTGTGTGCGCGCGCGCATGAGAATAAACGCGGACTGACGTCCTCCATCATAACTCTCTATGCGCAGCTCGGCCGATGCGGTCCGGTCCGATCCGATCCGATCCGAGCTGCCACAAGATGGAGGTGTGGAGAAACCTGGGCAGGAAGGGGTTAAACCGGCAGGTTGTCACCTGTGGTGGATGAAGTTTGTTCTGTGGAGGC